CAAAATCATTGCCCCCGTGTGTGCCAGCTCCCATTCGCCTCTAGCTTTGTCTTCTCTCCTGCTCTAGCTGGTGCCAGCGGATGGTTTCGGGCCTGCCCCCACCGGGCCGAACTGGGCTCTGGCCCGGGAGCAGGCCAGCGCCACTGCACTGGGCACTGGGCACTGGGCACCCACTGTATGCCGGTCGCCGTGTTGGCAAAGGAATACCACCAGGAACACGGCAGGTACAGCCCTGCCCCTGCCCCAGAGCTCACGGGTGAGAGAGCAGCAAGGCCAACTTGGAAGTCAGGGCACCCGGGGCTCCAGGGGCAAGACCAGGGGCAGCTCCCAGAGGAGGGGTCCCTGGCCTTCCAGGACAGCAAATGCTTTTCCGAGGAAGTGGCAGACACATCTCTATTTATTTACTCACTTGGTTTTCACATGTATTTGTTTATTTCTTCCTTAAAAGGGAGACAGAGAACACCCCCAATAGGATCTGCACACCATGATCCACCAGTCCCCCCAGCCCCAGCTGCCCCAGATCATGGACATACACATGCCCACCATAATTAGGGAGGTCTCCAGACACAAATCTAGAACCTTCCCCTGGGGATCAGTCTTGCAAAGCCTCATGTTTTACCACTGTGCCAACATCTGACCCCAAAACACAGTATCTATTCATACAGAGGTCAAAAGGATGAATGGGAAATAGTTAAGAGAACATAGGTGGGGAAGAAGAAGGTTTAGTCAAGTGTATCAGTGAGCTTATGCTGCGTAACAAATAAGCCCAGAATATCATGGCTTAAAACGACAAACTACATATTGTTGTTGATGATTTGTGAATCAGAGTGCGAACCAAGCTTGGTCAATCTCTGCTTGGCTCATTCAAACATTTGTGATCTCCTGAGGACTGATGGGAAGACAGAGGGAACTTGTTAGGCTCCGGCAGGCTAACAAGGCTTGCTCCTGTGGCAGCAGGACTGGCATAGCATCCCTTCCACCTCAGTCCATTGGTCAAAGCAAGCCCCAAGGCCAGTTCAGATTTTTGTTTGTGTGTTTTCGAGAGACTTTTGCTATAGTATGTATGTGCTCGCCAGAGGAGGCAGAGAGACAGAAAGTGGAAATGATCCCCTGGGGGATGGCCGCACTGCAATCCCTTCCCTTCAGTTCTCTTCTCAGGATTCAGGGCATGCACACGCATGTCCGGCATGAGTTTCAAGCCGCCAAGTCCTGGACTCAAACCACAGTCAGCCATGTGGGAGTCCAGCGCCTCAACCACCATGCCACCTGCTGGCCCCAATCCTGCTCAGATATGAGTGTGGAAGAAGGGGCTGTGACGTTGCAAGTGGGCGTGGACATGTGAAATGGGGGCACCGTTGCATCAATCTAACATACAGAGGACGTACATAACATCCAGGTATCAGCACATTACCCTGAGAGCACAGCGTGGTGGGGTAGTGGGGTCCTAGTGGGGTGTCCCCAAGGCAGACCGAAGAGCTCAGACTTTCACCCAGGAGGGCAGTGAGAGCCACGGAGGGTGCAGGGCAGGAGGTGAGGGAGGATTTCATTTCAGAACACTGTAACGGCCACAGCCTCCCTCAACCCAGACCTTTGAGGAAGGAGAATCCTCAGGGGAAATTGAACAATGAGAGATTACATGGAAGGAAACGTAAGTGTATTTAAAACCAGTCCCCTCCAGGGCCAGCCAGTGGCATGGAGCCTAAAGAGGCTAGAGCCCACATGGCTGACTATGCTGTTCAAGTCCTGAATACAATGGCTTAAAAACATACTGGAGAGGTCAGCAGGTGGCGAGGTGGTTAAGGTGTGGGACTCCCACATGGCCAACCACGGTTCAAGTCCCAGACCTGCTGGTTTGCTTTCTCACTTTCTCTCTCTCATCAAATTAAAAATAAAATAATAATAAATAGCATTAAATTTTTTAAAAAGTCAGCAATAAAAACAACAAGAACAGCAACAAAAAACATGCTGGGGGACCAGCAGTTAGTGTAATGGCTATGTCACTGAACTCCCATGTAGTTGTCTGCGGTTCAAGTCTCGAACCCGGTGGCTTAAACTCACACCGGGCGCATTTGGATGTGTGCCCAAGATCCCAAGAGGAGAATGGAGGAGAAGAAGATCCCGAGAGGAGAATGGAGGAGAAGGGATTGCGGCGTGGCCATCCCCCCTGGGGGGTGATTTCTCACTTTCTGTCTCTCTTTCTCTCTCTGTCTGTCTGGCAAGCACACGAGAAAAACCCCCCAAAAAAAAAAAAAAACCATGCTAGCTAGGTACATGTGCATGCCAAAACCCAAGAGGAGAATGGTGAAGGGATTGCAGCCTGCCCCTCCTCCCCTACCCCCGAGGGTGAGTTCTCACTTTCTCTCTCTCCCTCTCTCTCTCTGGAGAGCGCACATACCCTATACCTAAAAACAAAAGACAAAGCCCATCACCTCCAAATCCTGGTTCCAGAGCAAACCATGGCTGCTACCTCGGCACGAGTCCTCTGGGACGTTCTGTGCCTTTGTGTGGGCACACACACACACACACACATGCACACACGCACACATGCATGCACACGCACACACACACGCGCACCACAGGAGTTTGTCTTCTCCGAAGTGAGAACAAATTCTCCAGATGCGTGCTGGTCCCCTCCTCTGCGGGGCTGTCTGCTACCCCACCCTGTGAACTTTCACCCCTGACCTGCCTGCGCTGTGGCCTGGGGCGAGCGTCCCTGTGTGTCTGCGGGCACGTTCTCCGGGTGAACTCCCAGTGGGATAAATGGGTTGTGTTCTGAGTCACTGCACTGCTTCCCAACAGCGAGGAATCTGTCCCATTCCTCACACCCGGCGGGGATTAACAGTAGAGTATTTGTCACAGGGCCAGCAGGTGGCGTGGTGGTGAAGGCGCTGGACTCCCACATGGTCGACTGCAGTGCAAGGTCCAGACCTGATGGCTTAAAACTCACGCCGGGCGTGTGTGCGTGCGTGCCCAAAATCCCAGGAGGAGAAGGCAGGAGAAGGGATTGCAGCGTGGCCTTCCTCCCTGGGGCGGCAGGGTGGGGTGCTTTCTCACTTTCCCTCTCACTGTCTCTCTCCAGGGAGTGCATGCACCCTGTGATGAGAGACAGAGAGAGCACGCATGCCCTATAGCGACAAATAAAAACAGGGTCTTCGTGCCCCGATCCACCCCCAGCCTCCGCCAGCCCCGATGACGCGTACACGCATGCTCAGTGCAGGCAGCGAGGTCTCCAGACACAAACCCGAATCCCTCCCCCGTGGGTCAGCCCCCTGTGTGCCTGCTCCACCACACCCAGGCCCCTTGTTTGGAGAGGCTGCAGACCACGGCGCAGAAAGGGAGCCGGTCAGCCAGTCCCCTGGCCGCCCTCTTGGAAGTTTCATTGTTCCCCCAAATCCTGTAGCAGAACTTCCAGGAGAGAAGGGAGGAGGTGCCAGGCTTCGGGGAGTACCTTTCTGAAAATGGCTGGGCCTCAGCCTACACCGCCATCAGGGGCAGCAAGGGCCTGCCTTCCTAGGAATGCCACACTCGAACTTTCTTCTTGGACCACAAAACGCGTACCTCGTTGTAATTTCCATGTGAATTTTCCTGAATGCCAAGAAAGTCGTGCACGTGTCTTCCTAGCCTTTCTGGTCCTTCGTCCGTTTTCCCAGTGGGCATTGCTCTTGTTTATGAAGACTTTTGCAAGCCATTTTATTTTAAAATTGTTCACGCAGGGCCAGTAGGTGGCGTAGTGGTTAAGGTGTTGGACTTCCACATGGAGGGCCGCAGTTCGAGTCCTGGACCTGGCGGCTTGAAACTCACGCCGGGCACGTGTGCGTTTGTGCCAAAAGTCCTAAGAGGAGAATGGAGGAGAAGGGACTGCGGTGTGGCCATCCCCCTTGGGGGGGTGGTTTCTCGCTTTCTGTCTCTCTGTCCCTGTCTGTTTCTGGTGAATGCACGTGCCCTGTAGTTTTCACTATCGAGAAAAAAAAAAAAAAATTGGTCACTTGTTTCTTAATTGTTTTTCTTTCTTTTAATTGCCAGAGACTGTGTGTACTCACCAGAGATGGACAGGGATGGAGAGGGCGGGAGAAAACTCAGCCATGGACCGTGGTTACACTGCAGTCCTGTCTCCTCCGTCTCTACCCGTCCGGATCTGGGACATACACCTGTGCCCGGTGTGATTCTCAAGCTACTGGGGCTCAGACTGAAATCCAGGTCAACCCTGTGGGATCCAGTTACCTGAACCACTAGGCCACAGGGCCAGCCTGGTTTCTTTCTTTCTTCTTAAGGAATTATTTATTTAATGTTATGTACCAGTACTATTATTATTACTTTTTTCTAACCAGAGACAGAGAGGAAAGAGAGAAAGCAAGCCGCCGGGTCCAGGACTCGAACTGTGGTCAGCCACGTGGGCGTGTCCATGCCTTAGCCAGCGCCACCTGCTGGCCTCCAGCCCAGTTTCTTTCTTAAAGCAACGGAACAACAGGACAGCACCCCCACCCCCAGGCCTCCGGAGAGGCCATTCACTGCCTGTCCTGGGAGGGGGCGTGTTCCGGTCAACTCCCTTAGGTTGGCCTCTGTTACTTTTGGAGAAACGGAGGCCTGGGAACAGGAGCAGACGCTGGGGCGGCCACTGCCCTCCTGCTGGCATGAGCGGGCCTCGGCGGCCCCTTCACAGCCCAGGTGGCCCTGGACTCCGTCAGCATCTCCAGCCCCTCGCGGGCGTGGGCGTGGGCGAGGGCGAGGACAAGGACAGGCACGGGAGGACCAAGCTGTCGGCCCAGCAATTTTGCCTTGGGAGCTCAGACCCAGAGAAGGTCAGAGACGCCCCCGGGCCCCGCAGGAGTGGCTGGCCAGGCGGGGCTCCCCTGCAGAGGCTCCCGGCTGTCCCACCTCCCAGCTGATGGCTCTCAGCCCAATCAGGGCTAATTGGCGGAGCCGCTGCAGGTACATAAGCCGGGCCGGCCGGCAGCCTCACGCTGCCCAGGGAGGATGCCTGGCCGGTGCTCGGCCTATCCATGGCCTCGGGAAGGAGCACGTCGGCCACCTCAGCCAGCTCGGCCTCTTCACCCTCCCCGAGGCCCTCCAGCTCCTCAGCAGGCCCGGCCAGGCCTCGCGGGTCCAAAGCGTCAGGTGAGCAGGAGGGGCAGCCCCCGCCCCGCAGCCAACAGCCATGCCAGGGCCGTCCCGGTTCTGCCCGATGCCCCGGCCTCCCAGGCAGGCCCAGCTTCCAGCCTAGAAGCCGCCAAGGCAGGGCAGTCCATGCCGATGCCGCGGTAGCAGGGGGCCGCGGGCAGCACCTGCTGCTGAGAGCCCGAGCAGCTAGGGACGTCCTGCAGGAGGGACAGGTGAGGGGCGTTTGGTGCACACCTGACCACCCCACAGCTCAGCCGGGGAACAGCTCGGGGTTTCTCTGGATATGCGGGCCCACGGAGGCAAACCAGGCCCAGCTCATGTCTGCAGGGAGCCCCTGTCTAACGGTGAAGCCTGCCCCATCCCTAGGTGCCTCTGGTAACATGATGTATGGTGGTGGCAACCCCAAGAGCTGTAGGAGTCAGAGCCATTCCCTAACTCACCTGGGAGTCAGGGAAGGCTTCCTGGAGGAGGTGATCCCTGAAGGATGAATAAGCCTCAACCAAGGGACGCGTTCTGAGTATGTGCAGGGGCTCCTGGGGGAGCAGCCGGTGCCAAGGGTTACTGGGCTGAGGTGGCATCCTAGCTTGGGCACTTGGGGACAGTGTCTGAACTGAGGTGTTTAGGGGCCATGAAGGATAGCAAGAGCTTTCCAGGTAGCCCCCCCAGGCAGAGGGACCCGTGCCACTGGCTATGTGGGATCCAGCTACCCTCACCACCATGCCATGGGGCTGGAAGAGTGAATTCTTTTTTTTGGAGAGGGAGAGGTTTTTGCTATAGGGCGTGTGCGCTTGCCAGAAAGACAGAGATAGAAAGCGAGAAATCACCCTCCAGGGGGTATGGCCACGCTGCAATCCCTTCTCCTCCATTCTCCTCTCGGGATCTTGAGCACACATGCACACCCGCCCAGCGTGAGTTTAAGCCACCGGGTCCAGGACTCGAACCGTGGTTGGCTACATGGGAGTCCAGCGACATAGCCATTACGCTAACTGCTGGTCCCTGG